GCCGCCGCGTCTGTGCCACCCCGTACTGGCCGGCCTGCGCGGGGACGCTGCGTCAGCAGGTGCCCCACACCCCCCAATGGACCCGCGGCGCTCCTAGGAGGGCTGGAGACGGGAATGCACATCACGGACGCACTCCATCCTTGGGCACAGGCAGGTGTGCTGCCGGGCACTGTGCTGGGGCCTCCCCCAGGGCCGGCCAGCTGCCTGCCACCCTCCCCACAAGGGAAAGGGCTGGGAACTCGGGGGAATGCAAAACCCCGGCCCCAGGCCCTCCTCAGGCCTCGGTCTCCAGGGGACAACACAGGGGACTTGCAGGGTGCCAGCTATGCACCCTTTTTTTGGGGGGTACCAGGGATCGAACTCGGGCCCTTGCACTTGTGAGGCAGGCGGTGGAACCACTGAGCTAAGTCCCCGGCTCGTGCCTTTCTGTTAGTGGTGCTGAGGCTGCAACTGGGGCCTTCACACCCAGCTGCAGCCCCTGGGCTCGCTGCAGTGCTAAACCGCCCAGACTGGGCTCCAACTTGTCATCGCCCTGCTCAGCCTCCCAGAGTGCTGGGACGACAGGTGAAGGCCACCACGACCAGCCGGCTCTGCCTTTGGAGAGGGCCAGGCTGGCGGGTCAGGCAGGAGCCCCAGGTGAGCCCACGGCCGCCCACAGGCACCTGCAGCACGCCGAAGGTGCACTGGTAGCCCATGCGGACCAGGCAGCGCAGCGTGAGCTTCAGCACCATGGAGCGCTTGAAGGAGACGAAGTTCCTGACGTTCTCCAACAAGAAGAAGCGCGGCCGGTAGTAGTCACAGTAGCTGGAGGCGGGAGAGCGGAGGTGTCATCGGGGGAGGGAGGGACCACACCAGGGTCTTCTCGCGGCCCCTTACCTGAGGAAGGACACCACCAGCGAGTTCTTGAACTTGGAGTAGGTGCGCGAGTTGAAGCGGTTCATGCCGCTGAAGCCTTGGCAGGGGGGCCCACCACACAGCATCTCCACGTCCCCCTTCTGCGGCAGCCGCTGGCGGAGCACGTTGGTCACCTCGCCGGCCATGACCAGCTTGAGCAGGACGTTGCAGTCCTCGGTGAACACCGTGGAGCCGGGGTTGTTCAGCCGGAACGCCTGGGCCGCGGGCTCCCACATCTCGATGGCCCACAGAGTCTCGCAGATGCCTGGGGACGGGAGGGCGACCGGGCGCTTGCAGCCTCCTCGGACGAGGACGGGGCCAGGAACCGAGGTCCCGAGAGCACCTTACCTGCCTGGTGGAAGCCCTCCGACAGCCCCCCGCAGCCCGAGAACACGTCCAGCGTCCGCAGCTTGGGCAGCTTGATGGCCTGCTCCGGCTCACTGGGCTCTGACGCCTGGGACTTCGTCTTGCCTTTCCCTGGAGGGGACAGGCCACCAGGGAACACGGTTGCCAGCCCTGCTGTGTGGCCTCGTGCAGGGCCGCTGGCAGCAGTGAGGGGCAGAGAGGCCACTCGGAGCCCCGCGAGCTCATCCAGCTTCCCGGGCGCAGGACACAGCCCTGGGCTCCAGACAGGGACGTACCTTTCCCCTTCCCTTTGCCCTTGTTCCCTGGACTGCGGGCGTGGTTCGGGGGATCCTCAAAGGTTTTGCTCTTTGCGTTGTAGGCCTGAAAAGGAGAGAACCACAGTCCGGACAGGAAGGACTGCATCTCCGCCCTGACAGACCTCTGAGAAGTGGATTTGTACAGAATCGGTATCTCCCTGCACAGCCCCACGGCTCGTTGGCCACCAACAGGGCGGGCTTGATTTCACTTCTCTGGGAACTTATGCAAATATTTTTACTTGGCCAACACTAAAATTCCTGCTGTGATGAGCACCTGCACCACTCATTCTCAAGTAGGGCTGCGTGACGAGCCCGTCGCCTGAGGAAACAGAAGGCTTCGTCCCTAAGATGACCACATGGAGGGGCCAAGCTCAAGCACTTCCGGCTCCGGGCTTCCGCCCCATCCTGGGGACCTGGCCCAGACACAGGCGCCCGGTGAAGGGACTGAGTGAGGGCCAGGGCTGTGTCCCCTGAAGAGGGAAAGGGACACCTGGCCAACTTACATGGGACACTGCCTGGGCCGGTGGAGACCACTGAGGGTCCTCAGATTTTAGTTACATCAAGACACTGTGATGTTATACGCTCTACTGTTAGCTGGACTTGGTGGTACCGGCCTATAATCCCAGCACTCTGGGAGGCTGAGGCAGCAGGATCGTAAGCTCAAGCCCAGCCTGGACAGCTCAGTGACTTAGGAAGACCCTGTTTCTAATTTTTAAAAAAGGGCTGGGGGTGCAGGAAGGCCCTCGGTTCCATCCTCAGCCCTGCGGAAAGAATGGGAAAGGGAAAGTAGCCGAGTGTTACAACTCCAGGACGGCCTGGCTGCTGGACTCGTATGTGGGCGACTCCTCCGGTGGCCAGAGCTCCGCCAGCATCCCCACCCCGCCACCCCAGGCGCTGGGTTCCTTACACAGGCCAGGCCCACCCACCTCAAGGAAGTAGAAGCGGTCGGGGCCGCCCATGGAATAGTCCTGCAGGCACTCGGGCAGGTCCTCCCCGTACTCCACGGTGCAGCGGCCCTGCACGGCCCGGAACTCCACCACGGCCTCCTCGTCGCTCCAGTACAGCAGGTTGATGTCGGCGTGGTAGCTGGCGGGCGTGAACTTGTGGGTGTTCTCGGGCCTGCGGGCCAGAGGAGCCCTGTGAGCGGTGCTCTTCGGCTGTGGGTCAGTGGCCCCTACCCAAAGGCCGGCAACCACAAGTACCTCGGATTTGCGTATTTCCAAAGATTTATATAGAGAGACCCAACAGGATTTTAGGGACAGAACCCAAGTCTAAATGCAGAACTCATTTTTCTCCCACAATCTCCCGCACACAGCCTGACGGTGACATTCTGGGCCATTTTCAGGAGCCCCACATGTTCACAGCGACTCGATCAGCCACTGCAGACCACGAACACTGTCCGACCTACAACGAGCACGGTTGTACCGTGGTCCTCGGCGAACCCTGGCAGAGACCATGTGAAATCAGACTCCCGAGCGAAATTGGTCCGAACACTCCACTCCGTACTCCTCGCCCCCTCCCGTAAGGCCCCTTGTGCCCACGCCCGCCTGGCGCGGTGTCAGTACGGGGTGCCAAGCACCTCCCTATGAGCAGCATTTCTCCAGCCTCCTCGCCCCGCTGGCTAGAACCCTTTACTCTCTCCTGTGGTTACAGCCGATCATCACACAGGGTGTGGAAGTCCTCGCTGTTGCTGTTCACAACCAGATGAAGCAGGAGGACCCCCCACCCTTCCGTACGGGTTTCCTCCCCATCACTGCGGCTCCAAGGAGACCCGAGCCACCCCAGATTCAGGACAAGACCCACAACAGGGGGACTAGAAGCCAAAGTGGTGGAACCGGGCAGCCACAGGCCCTGCAGTCAAACAGCCCAGGCCCTTCCGGCTGCTCTGGCCGCACCCTGGACATCCACTAGGGACATCTTTTGGGGAAAGGGCTCTGCGGCTCTCTTTTATCCTGCGGGTTGAGGGCTGGGCATGCAGCAGCCCAAGTGTGCCGAGCGCAACCTCTGCACCAAGCCACACCCCTGCCAGGCCCCGAAGCCTGAAAATGAGGCCCTAAAAGCCACCACACCAGTGCCCACCGAGTCACCAGCGCACCGCCCGGGTCCTGCAGACCTGTAGAACTTGTTGAGCTTGATCTTGATCTCCGCCTCATTGGGCTTGCCGTTGCTCTTCTTGGGGCAGAAAATCTCTTTTATCCGGCCGATCCGGTAAGGTTCAGGGGCGTCCAGGTTACTGCCCTTGATGTAGTCAGAGTACTTCCGGTAGTGCTCCGGGTATAGCTCCTCGTCCACTGGCTCCTTCCTGGGGCGCTTCATGGGACTGGACAGCTTGATGCTGTGAAGGAACCGCCAGGTATGGCTGACCCGAGGCCATGGTGGGCAACGCGGCAGACGGGAACCACCTGAGCCAGTCAGGTCCACCCTACACGCCAGTGTAGCCAAGCGCCCCCAGGACAGATGTGCGTCAACAGCTCTCAGCTCCAGCTGGGTGTGGGGCACATGCCTGTCACCCCCACACTCTGGGAAGCTGAGGCAGGAAGACTGCACGTTCAAGCCCAGCCCGGGCAGCTTACTGACTTAACAAGACCCTGTCTCCAAATGAAAAAGGACTGGGGATGTAGCTCAGTGCACAAGCCCTGGGGGTCAATTAAAAAAAAAATCCTTCGCTCCTGTCCCGCCTCCAGGCCACGCAGCATTATGCACTTCTGGCGCGTGACTAGGTCGGGTCATTGAGCACGGGCAGAGGTGACAGGAAGGCTCAGCGGCTGGGGCCATGTCCCGTGTGTGTCTCCTCAGGTCCTGCCTAGAAACATCTATGGAGATGACACCATCAGCCCGCGCCCCTCTGTGATGGGCGAGAGGAACTGCTGTGTTTTCAGGCACTGTCCTTTCGGGACTGTTATGTGGTGTGACAGACGGATCTGGAGGCAAGGCAGGAAGAGGCCTAGGGAAGAGGACACGGGGCCTGCAGCTACCGAAGCTGGCCTCACTGCTCCGGCCGCACTGCTGCAGCCGAAAGCCTGTGGGGCGCAATTTTTGAAGGCAGCTGCCTCGACCTCCCCAATAAACCCTTCGCGTCTGCCGGCTCCAGAGCTGCCCGAGCGCCCCTGCTCCATGCTCAGGGCTGCTGTGCCCTACGACTCACAGGGACTAAACCCGGGGGTGGGTGACGGGTTCCCTCTGGGGGCCTAGAGACGGAACCACCAGCCCGGAGACTGAGCAAGCTGGGGGGCGCAGGGCTCTGAGGAAGAGCACAGGCACAGTGTGGAGCTCCCCGAGCTGTGGTCGCCTCCCTGCAGAGCCACAGTTCTGACGCACTGAGCCTTCGGACTGAAGTCCCTGGGCCTGCAGCCGACCAGCCCTCGGCGCTCCCCGTGGTGTAGAGGTTCAGTGCCCCAGGAGCCCGGCTGCACAGGGCACTCACTTGAAGGTGAAGGCCTCAGGAGGCAGGTACACGCCGTCACCCACTCGGTACAGGACGCCGTTCTTGGTGGCGGAGCTGTAGAGAACCCGGCTGTCCAAGTCCTCCAGCTGCTCCAGGACGCGGGGCATCTCCTTCTGCCTCATCTCTGCCAGGCGGGCGCAGCTGGCACAGAACCTGAGGGACCGAGGGACCGAAACGCCATGAGGTGATGGCTCAGAGAGGAGCACCGGCGTTCCAACTTTGAAGGCACGCCAGGGGGACTGGGACCCAGGGAACACAAGGACGGGCAAGCAGGCCTGTGGGCCGCTGTCGGATGACAGCCTAGGCCGGCAGGGAAGAGCGTGCGGGGCCTGAGTGAGCACGCACACTACACGCACGAAGGCAGAGTGGGTCAGCCAGCTGAGAACCCCAGAGGCTCCCCCTACCTCCCCCAGGAAGGCGGGAAAGGGATTACTGGGGATAGAACCAGGGCTCTGGTAACGAGCCAGGTTCCAGTCTTTTTTCTGGACACAGAGCCTTGTTAGGTTACCCAGGCTGGGCTTGAATTTAGGATCCTCCTGCCTCAGCCTTCCAGAGTGCGGGGATTATCGGTGTGTACCCCCACACCAGGCCCACATTCTCCTCAGTTAAGTCCTCGAAGAAGAGCTGGAGCCTACTTTAAAAACACACCAAGGGGGCCGAGGATTTAGCTCAGTGGCACCATGCCTGCCTCACAAGTGCAAGGTCCTGAGTTTGACCCCCTGGTACCAACAAAACAAGACGAAAGAAAAGAACAGACCAAGGGGCTGGGAGGTAGCTCAGCAGTAGTGCTTAGGTTCCAGTCCTAGTCATCCAGCCCCACCCGCATATTTGAAAAAAGCTTCAAGCTGAAAGACAGCAGCAGCTGATGGGGGGGTGGTTTGCACAGAATCTAATTGAGCCGAGCCGCCGCTGCCTCCGCCTGTCAGCTGCATCATCGCTGTCCACGGACGGTCACGAGTCAGAGTTCGAATTTCCATCTTTTCTGGGCCGGCACCAGGGTTGGAGCCCAGGCTCTGAGCCTGACAGGTAAACGCTCAGCCACCAAGCTCCACCGTAGCCCTGACCCGCTCCTCCCCGGGCTACCGTCTGAACCTGCGGTCCTCTTGCAGGGACACCGGGTGGCAGCAGTGAGTCACAGCTCTGTCACCTCATCTCCCGGGCTACAACAGTCTGTGTCACCAGTGACTCTGGATGCTGAGGGATAAACTGCACGAGATAAGCAACACCTCACGAGTCAGGCTTTGTGTCAGAACAGTGGCGCCTCACTGCAGGCTCACCTGTGTTCTGAACGTGCTTAGGGTTCGCTACACTGAGCCGTGGAGGCTGGAAGGTTGGGTGTATTGAGGTAGCCCAGGCTGGTCTTGAACTCCTGGTGACCCTCCTGCCTCAGGTCACAGGCATACGCCACCACAACGATTTCAGTGCATTTTTGAGTGAAGCTATTTTGAATTTAAGCTGGCTTTTGGGGGCAGAGCTGCACCACAAGCTGGCGAGACCTGTGTGCCTCCAGAGACGCCCACTGCTGCTTCACAGATGAGGCAGACGGTAGAAAGAACCAGAGGGCACTAAACGCTTAAAGAAAGGTTTCCTGGGTGCAAGCACCCACCGGTTAAGAGAAACATGAAATACAAGATGCTTTTACAGGAATTAGGATTTTTTTTTCCTTTCTGGTACTGGGGATCGAACTCAGGACCTTGTGATTGCCAGGCAGGCACAGCGCCACTGAGCTAAGTCCCTGGCCAAGATGCTTTTATTGGAGAAAATCCCCAAGACGCAAAAGAGAAGACACAAGGTGTGTGGCACATGAGGGGACAAAGGCGACCCATCCTGCTCCCTCTGAGCCTGGCAGCCACGCACTGAGCCGACCACAGGCAGCCGGACAGGACAGTAAGCACAAGGGAGGCCAAGGCTCCCGGGAGGTGCGCGGCATGGCGATGGCCTGTACAGGGCGGGGACCCCACTCACTTGTACTTGTTGTCCTCTGTTGGCTGCATCTTGGGAGGGGACTCGAACCTTGCGTAGTCCTGGTCGTACCACAGCTGGTAGAAGTAGGTCTTCCCGTCTTTGGGGATCCCTGGGAACGTGGCCTCAGGGTCCATGCCTCCCTTTGGGAACGAGAGTGCACGTCACCCGTGACCTGCATGGAGGTGGCACAGGGCTGCGTGGAGGGCAGGGCGGGCGCTCTCACCTCCATGGCCCAGTTCTCAGATGGCGGTTTGTACAGGACGTTGACCTTGCTGTGGATGTAGGACAGCTGCATGTCCTCGCACTCGTCCACCAAAAACAGCTCCCAGGGGTCCGACGTGGCCCCGAGGACCGTGTCCGAGCCGGCGCAGAACCAGTGTGCATGGAACATCTGCCCATTGCTGCTGTCCTCCCACAGTGCCGTCACCCTGGAGCCGGAGGGGACAGAGCCAGCTCAACAGCAGCCCTGACTGCGCCCACCAGGGGAGGCTGGGTCTTTCTGGCTCTGTTCCATCCACAGGAGCAGGCAGGCCACACACCTTGCAAGATACAGCGGCTTGGAGGGGTCGTCAGGGATGACAGAGACACAGTCTCCCACCTCCAGGGTCTCCCCGTCCATGCACACCTGCTGGTAGTAACTCTTCTTCCCGTCGGTCTGCAAGCAAGAGCGAGTTCTGGTGAGGTCCTCACCTGTGTAAGCCTCCGGATCTTTTTATGAAGCAGGGTCTCGCTACGTAGCCCAGGCTGGCCTGGAACTCACGATGATCCTTCTGCCTCAGCCTGCCAAGTGCTGGGACTACTGGTGTGCGCCACCTCACCCAGCAGCCTCCAGAAGCTTAAACTCATGAGACTCGGGGCTGAGGCTTCAGTAGTAGACAGGGCGCGTGCTCAGCGCGCCCAAGACCTTAGGTTCAATCTGAGCACCCAAAAAAGACACAAATAAAGATGTGACTCATCATCATTTCATGAAGACGTCAAGAGCTGGGCCTGGGGGTGCAGAGCTTTAATTCCAGCACTCTGGAAGGCTGAGGCAGGAGGAACACAAGTTAGAGGTCAGCCTGAGCAACTCAGCAGACTGCCTCAAAATAAAATTAAAAAGGTCTGGGATGCTGGCTCGTTTATAGAGTGCTTGTCTAGTAGGTAAGAACCCCCAGGTTCCACCCCACGCACTGCAAGAAGAAAAACCGCAGCCATGAGCTGCCTGGTCCCCAAGCGCACATACGGACCTGGAGCTCTGAGGGTTACCTTGATGGCTTCCCCAACCCAACAGATCCGATTCCTGTTCTGCTTCATCTTCTTTCCCTGATGCATCTTTTTGGGCGATGGCATCTCAGGGATGTCATCGTCCACTTCCTCATCATCCTCTGCCTCTTTCATGGCCATATTGGGACACCTGCAAAGCCACGGCTATCAGTGAGGCCCCCGATGGAGCAGAACTGACCTGGGCACCTGAGGGTCACGACAGGCCTGAAGCCAGCCCCGGAGGGATCCCTGCCCGCTCTGGTCTCGTCCCCCCAGGGCAGGCACCCTCCTACCTACCTCCTCCTCAGGCAGGCCTGCTTGCTGCGACCACTGCCCCCGAACTTCGGCATGTCCTTGCAGGCCTTGCACTTTCCACACTCGGGCCTCTGGCAAACCTAGGGAACGTGAAAAGGCCGATGACGTGGGCATGTGGTAGCCGTTTTTTTTTTTTTTTTTTTTTTTTTTATTTTTTTTTTTTTGGTAGTACCGGGGATCAAACTTAGGACCTTGTGCTTTCGAGGCAGGCACGGCATCACTGAGCTCAATCACTGGCCCAGTAGCCAGGTTTTTTTTGTTGTTTTTTTTCTTTTAGACAGGGTCTCACTACATAGTTGAGGCTGACCTGGAACTCACTATGTAGCCCAGGCTGGTCTCGAACTCACAGCGATCCTCCTGCCTTAGCCTCCCGAGTGCTGGGATGACAGGCGTGCAGCACCTTGCCCCGCTAGCCAATCAGTTTTGATAGATTTTTATTCCCCCTGTACTGGGAAGATTGAATCTAAGGCCTTAAACTGAGCTATGTCCCTGGCCTATTTTGTTTTTCAGGCAAGTTCTCATTAAGTTGCCCAGGCTGGCTTCAAGTTGGTGATCCTCCTGCCTCAGCCTCCCCAAGAGCTGGGATTACAGACATGCACCATCATTCCAGGCAAGTGAATTAGGATCTTCTAAAATACATTCAAGCCTGTAATCCCAGCACTGGGGGGTTGAGGGAGAAGGACTGCAGTGAGTTTGAGGCCAGCCTGGAGACACATGGGGAGAGGTTCTAAACCAGCCCGAACTACAGGAAGACTCTGTTTTAAAAATAAAGCACCTGGGTGTGGTGGAGCACACCTGTAATCCCAGCACTCGGGAGGCTGAGGCAGGAGGATGCTGTGAATTCAAGACCAGCCTGGGCTACATAGTTGAGTTCCAGGTCAGTCTCAACTACATAGTTAGACCCTGTCTCAAAAAACAAACAAACAAAGATAATAATAATAATTAAAGAAAGCATGCATTCAATCTTGGCATAAGTATGAAAAATGAGAGCTGAACCTGCTCCTACCCTCCGGATCAGCACAGATTAAGATGTCAGCTGGAGCGGGAAGGGAGAAGCTGCACCTCAGCGGAAGGTAACAGCACCTTGGAGAGCAGCCTGCAGGTCAAAGTCCACCTACACCCCAGGCTCCTCCTCTAAACCGGAAGCTGGCAGGAGGGCTCAGAGGCGGTGGCATGGCCATCACTACAGCAAAAAGCGCTCTATCACGGAGGACCAGGTGGGACACTCATAAAACACCCCAGGCCTGCTGCACTTACAGATTCAACCAGCCATGCATGGAAACACTCAAGGGAAAGAGAAAACTAAGCTGCTGTGATCCAGCTCCTCAGGAGGCCGAGGCAGGAGAGCCCATTTTGAAGCCAGCTTGGGCAACTAACTCAGCCAGACCATGCCTCAAAATTAAAAATAAAAACCAAGGCCTGGGAATGTAAGTCAGCCCTAGCATGCCACATGGCCCAGAGTTAAGGCCCCGGCCCTGAAAAACAAATCAGAACTGTCCTGGATACGCCCAGACTGTCCTCCCCGGGACTCTGTAAAAGACCGCACTGCAGCCATCTCCCCAATGTTTAGCATCTGTGAGGTCGCAGTCATTGGGAGAGGACTTTTTGGGCCAGGCTAGGGTTCACACCCAGGCCCTCAAGTGTGCTCAGCACAGGCCCCACCCCAGAAACTGTGTGAGGCTCGTCGGGGCAGGCACGAGTCATACAAACACCGTCCAAACAGCCAGAGCTTGGTCTGAGTGGGGGGTGGTCCTGGAACCGACCCTGGAGTACGGAGCAGTTACGACCACGTCCACAAGTGACAGCGCCACAGAAGTCGCACTTGTAGTTTTTTTTTTGTACCGGCAATCAAACTCGGGTCCTGCACTTGCGAGGCAGGCGGTGGCACCACTGAGCTAAACCCCCGGCCCCACAGCTATATTTTTAACAACTATGAAGCCAGGTGTGGTGGTGCACGCTTGTGACTGCCCCCAAGGAGGCTGAGGCAGGACTCCGACCTGGGCACGTTAGTGAAATTGTCTCGAAAATAAGAAATAAGGGTTGAGGACATGGCTCGACTCCCAAAACGCAAATAGATGAGAGAGGTAAATGACGCATTGATGGATGGAGAGAAAGTTGTAAACACTGGACAAACGCAGTAAATACAAAGAAAATTCCAATTGGGACGGTGAGGACTTGTAGATCCCCGCTGAGGGCGGCCACGGAAGGCAGCCAAAGCTCCAGTGCCAGCGCGCAGGGCACACACCGGTGGCTCCCAGGCAAGGGCAGCGGACCAGGTACTGTAAGGCACACCCCATCACCAGCGAATCCATGGTGCTGGAACCAGGATCCAGGCGGCCTGAGCCCAACGGAAGGGTGTAGTCTCCCTGCAGAGCCTGCTCTGCACCTCCTGCCGCAGACTGCCTCGCTCTCGCTCTCCGGGCTGCTCCCTGACCTGGAGTGTGGCCTGGGTACGAAACCGATACAATGCTCGGCTTACAGAGCAGTGTCATGAACAAAGCCACATGTGCCCAGCATGGATGTAATATATGGTTCTCTTTTTTTTTCCTGAGATAGGGGTCTCGATATATAGTTCAGGCTAGTGCCAATCTCGTAACTGCCCTCCTGCCTCGGCCTCCTGAGTGCTGGGATCACAGGCGTGCACTACCACGCCTGGCCTTGGTTTTTATTTTTTCAGTCGAGGTTTTACTAGGTAGTTTAGGCTGGTTTTCGACTCACAACGATCCTCCTGCCTCAGCCTAAATTCTGGGATTATAACCATGGACCATGAGGCCCAAGTGTAATACTGTTGTCAGCCTTTATCAGATAGATAGTGGGTTCAGAATCGCGGAGCCTACAAACACAGAGGAACAGCCATATTCATACACCCTTCATGGCAAGCTATTCTGGAAGGCCTGTGATCCAGGTCCGCCCCCCAGCACTGTCAGAGCCTCAGGAGCCACCCCGACAGGGTCACCTCACAGACGCCGCAGCGCCGCCGTTTGAAGGCGTTCTCCTTGTCCTCTTTATCATCCTTTTCAATCTGCTCTGCGAAGAAGGTGTCGAAGATCTCGTAGACCAGCTTGGTGGTGGTGGCTTTCGTGGGTCCTTTGTCCTTCTCCTTGGCAGAATGCCTGAGCCTCACGGTCTGACGCCTTTCGGCTCGCCTGGGGGAGGGGCCGCTGCTTAAGGGACTGGGCAGAGGACACAGGAACCTGCCTTTTCCGGTCTCGGGTCCCCAGCCCGATTCCTGCTGTGTCCTTACCTCTGCCCCAGGGTGACCCCTGCCAGCTTGATGAGGTCTCTCATGCAGGGAGACAGGAAGATGGGCTGCTCGTCACTGTCCTTGGCATCGTCGTAGCTCTCTACTTGACTCACCACAAACTGGGCGTGGCGGAGGAGAGAATCCTCCGTGAACCGGTTCACGTTGATTGTGGAAGGGGGAACAGTGGTCTTCAGAGGAAAAAAAAAGAAAAAGAAAAACACATGTTTCACTTATTTTTTTTGCTTGCAGTGCTTGGATGGAAGCCAGGGCCTCACACAAGCTAGGCAGGCGGTCACCACCAAGCACCAGCCCAGCCCTGATTCTCTAATACTTAAACAGAACTGTGCATATGGGGCTGTAAGTTTCTGCTGGCTCTAGACGTGGCTGCAGTTCTCTGGCAGCGTCAGGATGGCGGGGGGGAGGTGCCAACCCCTGATCAGGAGGCAGGGGAACCCCGCACCTCGATCTTGTTGATCAGGTCTTCGTAGGTGGCATCGGGATTCCCCTGGAGGAACTCGATCACGATCTTACTCATGTAGATCTTCTCCTGTATCAGGCCAAAAAGGGGCTCATAATCCGGGCTGGGCTCCATCAGAATGTACTCGGCGAAACCTGGAGGGGACATGAGTTGTTAAAAAAAAAAAAAAAAACTTGTTCATCAAACCGGGGCCCTCAGCACCTCCACCCCTCCAGCATCCACCATTTCTCTGTGCATATGACAGAGATGGGGTCTCCCTGTCGCCCAGGCTGGCCCCGGGCTCCAGTGCTCCATCTTCCCCCTCTGCCTCCCAAGTGGTGAGGACAAGAGGTGCACACCACCCGGCAGGCCAGAGCGAGGAGGAAGTGTGCGGGACTTCCAGAACAGCCTCAGATCACTCCGCAGACCAATGGCAAAACGCAAAGCCCCGCCGGTCACAGCTCATTACGGAGCTGCCGCTCTGCTTGAGGACGGAGACAAGCTAAGCAGGCTTTCAGCAAACTTGTCTACTTTTTGGAATTTGCTCCGGCTCTGAGTTGCAAGACTTTGACTTGCTCTTAAAACTGGCCAGCTGGGGATTTGGCTCAGTGGTTCCGCCGCCTGCCTCACAAGCACAAGGACCCAAGTTCGATCCCCGGTACCAAACATAACAAAAACAAAAACATTGGCCAGCTGCAAGTAACATGAGAGGCTGCCCCTGCCGAACCAAGGTCCCAGGGCACTGTCCACACCCCAGGACGGTAGGAGCCTGGGCCCGTCTCACACCTACCGGTGCTAAAGCCAATGAGCACCTTCTCGCCTCCATCGTAGCCGGTGATCCACCATTCGTTAATGGGGCCAAGATTTTTGCCATTAACACCACCTAGGAGCACGAAAAAAAGTCCCGGGCTGGGGAAAAGGACCATGCACAAGGCCCATGCCGAAGCTGGGCCAGGCGGTCACTGTTGGAGCCTGGAGCCAGCATACAGAGGCGGCAGCTCCCACGTCTGTCAGTTCACAAGGGACTTGAGTGTGCTCGGGCTTAAGCCACCGGCTGCCCCCGACTAACCCTGGGGCATTCCACTCACCTTCTAGAGACGGGTTTTCCTCATAGATCGCTTTGGCTGTTCCAGAAAAATACAGTTTTACGTTCTTCTCGATGAGCCCAGTGTCTATTGGGCACAGGTGACCTCGCTTACAGTACACACTAGACGGGCGACAAAGGGCACTTATGAGCTACCCTCAAAGGTGGCCACAGCACGGGGCCAGGCACGGGGGACGGACTAAGTCCAAGCCTCAGACCAACCCATCTCTCTGGTCACAGGACACTAACTCGGTCAGTACTGCGCTCTATCACTCAAAAGTTCCCCTGCCCATCAAGAGGGCACGGCCTGCCGAGGTGACACAGACAGGGGTCAATGAGACATCTAGTGGGAGGCCTTGGCTCTGACAACAACCTGCTCACTGCTCTGTGCAGCCACCACCTGTCCAGCCCCAAGCCCTCCCGTCACCCGAAATAGAAGCTCAGCCCAGCAGGCGGCATCTCCCCAGTCCCCAGACCCCAAGCCCTGGCACTGCCAGCCTACTTGGTTTCTGAGGGTTTTCCTGTGCAGTGCACGTCACCCTGTCCATGCAACTTTGCATCACGTGAGCTGCATTTCGGTAAGGAAATTAGCTCAGAACCCTAAAGCAGGCTCAGAGCAGGATGGGAAGGGGGTCCTCAGGGTGCAGGAAGGAGAGATACCGTCGGTCTTCCACCGAGGGATGGAGGTCAAATGCACAAAGGACACCGATGGTGACACCGTGGCGCAGACACATTTAGGAGCCTGTTCCGCCTACACGAGGCATCACAGAAGACAAGCCTCAAACTGCTTACACCGCACACTAGGGCTGGGGATTTAGCTCAGTGGTGCTGCCACCTGCCTCACAAGCACAAGGTCCCAAGTTCCATCCTCAGTACCAAAACAAAAACAAACGAACAAAAAAAAAAATCCAGAAAAAACAAAACAAAACAAATAACACAGTAAACACAGTAAGCACCAGAGCTGAGCACCCCACTCCTGGCACGGTGGCAGTAGAGAGGCCCGTGGTAGCCTTCGTATTTGGTCAGGGGGAAAGATGGGTGGACAGACGTATGTACGGAGGGTGGCCTGCATGGGGAGGCTCAGGCCCCAGCCTGCCAGACTCTCCTAGAGGCGACACGAGCCAGGCTGGTGCCCGTGACTGGTTCCCACCGACCACACACAAGCCAAAAGCCTGGATAAGTGGGGTGGCCTGGCTCCCAGCATACTGCTGACAGGCCCCTGACCACTGAGACACTGTCCTCAGTGTCCCTGCAGGAGGGAGCCACCAGGCTTGCTGGTGACACCACCAGGAGTGCCGCACGCCCTGTCCGCCCAGAGAGCTTCGTGAGGGCCGCCATGGTCCCGGCCCAGGCGCAGCTGGGAGACAGCACGAGAGTGCAGAGAGGGAAGGTACAGCCAGCAGTTAGCCACAGGGACAGAGGCAGGCCACACACAGCCCAGGCGACATACAGAGAAACCCCAGTCCCAGCTGTGCGTTGTGGGGAAAGCCTGCCTGGGCACTGCGGCCACCCGAGGCTCCCAGGCACTCACCGGTGCCCGCCCTGAGCCCTCCCGCTAGTCCCTGTCCTGCCCCGCTGGTTCCCTGTTCACCAGGCTGAGGGATCACTAATCCGAATCCCAGGTGCTTAAAATCCAAGATGCTAAGCACTGACGGACCAACCTGATTGACATCACACGTGGGAAATGTGGCAGTGACCTCGTGAGATAGGGCTGAAGTCACACTGCTGGTGAATTAAAAATAGTGCACAGGGGCCGGGGATTTAGCTCTGGGGTTCTGCCGCCTGCAAGCACAAGGTCCTGAGTTCGATACCCGGTACCAAAAAAACAAGACAAAAAAACCTTCAGTCCACACAACTGCAGCGGGTACAGGACCGCGGGGAACCTCCAGTTCACACTTGGGTCCCGTTGCTGAAGAATCCGTTGCATGCAAATATTCTCAAAACCAAAACTCTCAACTCCCAAACACTTCTGGCCCCACATGCTCTGGATAAGGGATATTTGAGCTACACATCTCACATGTGACTTTCTTTCCGCTAAGGCAGGAGCCTGCGGTACCAAATCCATAATGACCTACATCAGCACACAGCACAGGGATGACCCTCATTTAAAAGTACGGAGCTGGGGACTCAGCTCAGTAATCCCACCGCCTGCCTCGTAAGCGCAAGGTCCTGAGTTCGATCTCCAGTACCAAAAAAAGAAAATTAAAAGGGAGCTATGGATGTGACTCAGTGTGAAGGTCCTGGATTCAACCCTAAATACCACACAAAAAAAGGAAAGCGTGACCTTTGGGATGGGGACTGACTGATCACTGAACGCACAGAACTATAACCACCTAAAAAGCAACAGAAATGTCAGAGCCAGCCAGGGTCTACACCTGCCCCGTGACTCCTTCCCACAAAGAGCCAGCAGCTCCACGAACACCGCCACGGGGCTGGGAACATCCCTCCCGGGGCGCCAAGACCCTGGTGGTGTGGCTCAGCCAGGCCACGGTGCAGTACGTCAGCCGTTACCTGAAGCATGTGAGCTTATGCTGAGGAAAGGCCTCGTAGCTCTCAAAGCCGGACTCATTGTTGTCGAAGATGGACAGCTTCTCGTTGGTCAGCATCTGGGGCTCCTCCAGCTGAGGGACACAGGGCTTTAGGCAGCGGCACACGACGCCGGAGACGGGAAAAGGGTGACAGGGCCGTGGCACTCACCGCGTCCGGAGGGTGCTGCTCGTATTTGAGGTCGACGTCATCTAGGTACTGCCCGCACTGGACACACCTGGGGGGCTGGAGCTGCAGCACGGAAGAGGGGCTCAGGGGGCGGCGCCGGTAACAAGCCCCCCCACTCCCACCCCGATGCTCACCCTGGAGTTGATCATGGCCTTGCCTCGAGGTGGTTTCTTCTCCACCCTGGGGAGAAAGCACAGGACCATTGGCTCTTCTTCCGTGAATTCAGAGCAGACCACAATGGGCCTTGGTCCCTAACCTGCCCATGCCTATGACCCATTGTGGCTGCGGTAAGGGACCAGGGGCCAAGTCACAGCTGGCCGTTTACCACCCAGGGGAATGCGGACTCAGCCTGCAGAACCAGGGAGTCTAGATCCTGACCTGACTTAACCTGACACGTAGCTAAAGTTGCTCCAGAATTTCATGAGAAATCACTTAAAATTTTTTTCTTTCTTGCTGGGCGTGGTGGCGCCCACCTGTAATCCCAGCACTCGGGAGGCTGAGACAGGAAGATCGCTGTGAGTTCAATACCAGCCTGGGCTACATAGTGAGTTTCAGGGCAGTCTCAACTACATAGTAAGACCCTGTCTTAAAAAAACAAAAAACAAAAAACAAAAAAAATTTGTTTTTTTTTCAGTACTAGGGATTGAATTCTTGGCCTTGAGCTTGGGAGGCAGAGGCGGTGCCACTGAGCTAAATCCCCAACCATTTTGTTTTTTTGAGACAGAGTCTCAGTATGTAGCCCAAGCTGGCCTTGAATTTAAGCAATCTTCCTGCCTCAGCCTCCAGAGTGCTGGGATTACAGCTATGCACCACCAAACCCAGCCATTTAAAAAAAGTGCACCTTTCATCGATGCCTATTTTACAAAATACTGGGTTTCACTGGTATTTTCAGACGTGCAGGTAACATTCTGATCATGCTCCCCCGTTACCCTCCCTTACCCCCCTGGCCCTCTCATCTTTCTAGAGCAATTTCAACATTATGCTCTGCTCTGTAGGAAGACAAAAATTAACCTTTAAGAGGGCAATCCAATTTCTGGTCCCCCTTCTGTCTCTTAGAAGCTTTCTTTCCTGCAGTAAAATTTTCCTGTTTTTTTGGTACTGGGGATCAAACTCAGGTCCTTACACTTGTGAGGCAGGAGGTGGGACCACTGAGCCAAAGCCCTGGCCCAATTTTTCCTATTCTGAACCCCCATTGTTCCTGGATTTTAGAGGACACAAACTCGCATTTCGAATATCTAGCAGGTTTGGGAGTTACATCTCTTCCCCCGTATCATTTTGGAGGTCTTCCACCGAGATTACTGGTCAGAGTTCTCAACATATTTAATTCCAGGCACTTCCCTCCTCGGTGGCTGCTGGATTTCAAGACAAAGCTTTCAGAATGTTTGGAGACCAAAACTAGAAAGGTAACTGGGCGATGAGGACAGCCAGTGTTTTGGCCCCGGCCCCTCAAGGTCTACAAGATCCAGGACACACAGGAACCTTTCCTACAGGATCCTCCATCTCTGAGGCTGCCAAACTCCAAGCGGTCACACACACGGAACCAGTGACAAGTGTGCGAGGACCCACCAGATGGACCTTGTAAACCTCTCATGAGTGCTAAACTAAACAACAGGACTTCTGCATTGGATTCTGAAGGGCCCTGGACCTTCTCCTTATCCTCTGGGCAGGCTATCCTTCCAGCAATCCTGCTGACCTTATAATTTGGCCCATGCATTCTTAACTGTTTCTTTGGTGTTGTCTCCTCCAGGCTTAAAAGCTATGCAGCTACCAAGACGACAATGCCAGGCACCTACCAAAGACCTTCAGAAAGACCCTCTGTAGAGTAACTCTAACTGCTGATCACAGCTACAACCCCGTTCAGTGGAAAGTAGTAGCCAGGGCTGTCTTCGCCCTTTGCCCCCTCACAGCAGTTAGGGGTACTTCTTCAGAGGAGGGAATATTGCAGATGGGTAGCTAATTACATGTCTTGTAGGCAGTTAGACAGGGCTGCCCTCAAGGAGCCAACATGGAGGGCAATCAAGACACATCCACTGCAGGCCAGAATTGTAAAGGGAGAGAAACTACTATAACTTTGTGCTTCCCCTGGGGATAAACAGCAGTGACTGATATTCCAAATAGGTTTCAATCACCTGAGTAGGGGGCCAAGGTCTTAGCCCAGCCTTTCCAGGAAATATCCCTGACCCCCACCCTTAATGAAAATCCTGGTACGCTTGCTAGAATCACGTGCCCCGATTTGAGTCCCATGTCGTCAATACTGCCTGGGTGACTGCACTGTAATCTTACTGGGTAGTGATGGTCTTGCCCCGCCTCGTGCCCGCCTTGTAACTTTCCATCGGGTCTTACAGTTTTGTCCCACTCTGTACCCGCCTCACATGGCCTGGCTGTAGAAAGCATCTTGGAGAAGTGGGATGAGCAGGCACCCACTTTCCGGGCCCCCTTCTGTCTTAGACAGAAGCTTTCTTTCCCTAGATAAATTTTTCCTACTCTTTAAAAACAATAATTAGTTCTTACGGTTCTTTGGGAATGGTTTTACGTCTCTTCTCCTCCTAAATAGGGGAAACAAAAAGATAAAGAGTAAGAAGGACACCGGCCTTGAGTCCATCCCAACCATCACAAAATAAATAAAAGGCAGCCGAAGCAGCAGGGCCCGCCCGGCCCTCACAGGAGCCTTGAGCGGAGCCACGAGGACACAGGGAGGCTCCCAGGAACCAGCCCTGCGGCCACCCTGACCTTGGACTCCCAGCCTCCAGAAGTGAGAGGGCGGCTGCTACGTGAGCTGCCCGACTGGTTCCCGCGGCCTGAGCTCACCAGCGCATGCGAAAGTGTATTTTTAGAACCCTAGCAGGGAAGGGAAGAGCTAGATTCTCATTATGATGCAGTTGCGATAAAATCGCGGGAGGAGGCGAAGGCAGTTACAAACATTACGTAAGGGCGGGGCGTGCGTGTGTGCGAGAGACATGGCGGTGAGCACTTGCCAAGCTCTCCTGAGGCCCTGTGTTCCAGCACAGCAGCACAAACAACAACACAGCTGAGGGGCTTTCACGCTGCACAGACCGGACTGACACAACTGGGGCCCACGACCCTCTGTCCCACATCACCAGCAGACCACGGGGCCTCCAGAGGCGATGACACAGGAAGCGGCGCAGCCGCCCCTGGCCACTCCGCCTGCGGGACAGGGGCTGAGGGAGGGGACCAGCCGGCCTCAGGCAGGACCCAGCAGAGCAGGCGGCCTGAAGCACACCGGCCATTTACGGGGAGCCAGAAAACCCGAGAGGTATTTAGAACAAGTCTCAACCGAACCCAGTGCAAGCGCTCCTCCAACATTTTGGTGAAAGGTGGGGCGCACACACAGCTGGGTCCCCCAAGGCCACCGCCTGGCGATTCCCCGGCTGTCTCAACCTGTGCTAAGTACGCTGTGACCTTTACACAGGGAGGAGAAACCCCTCGGCACTCCTTTCCCAGGATGTGTCGCCACTGTCATGCGGCTCAGGGCTATGCCCGGCCAAGACCGTGTGGGTCCCAACTAGAAATGTAAAAACCAACAGAGGAGGCCAGGACGGAGGGTTGGAGCTTGAGACCTCAGCAAGAGGGGCACAGGGGCAGTGCGGCCCCGCCCGGGCAACTCTGACTCCTTGTCTTCCATAGAGGGTGGAGGTGTAGCCCAGCACAAAGGTTCTGGGTTTACTTTCTAGTACCGTCGGGGGGGGGGAGAAGAAAGAAAACCTAGGGGATTCGGGAATTTGAATACAGACTAGGGGTCCGATCTTATTTTCTCGGTGATAACGCCCTCGTGGGTGTGTCTCTCGCCGGCCCCTCTGGGATCGGGGTGCCAGGGCAGGGGGTGCCAGGGCCGAGCTGGGGTGGAGCGGGTTGGGGTTCGCCGGACTACGCCCGGCCAGAGTGATGGAGGCCAAGCCTTGACTGCTTACTCTGGGCTACATCTGAACACAAGCACAGTAAATTGTTTGTTTTTTTAAATAAACTGCTTTTTGTGGTGTAGCGCTGGAGCCTGAACGTGCGTGAGGCAAGGCCCAGTGCAGGCTAAGCTAATGCTCTACCACTGAGCTACACACCCAGCTGTTATAAAAATAAAATAAAAAATAATTAAAACAGGCCACTTTTCAGTGGACCCCAGCCAATACAGCGGGACAGAAGCGAGGCTTTTACCTTCTCATCTTCATCCCTGTCCTGGGATGTCTGAGGCGTTGCTCGCCCAGCCTCTACCTCCTCAGTCCTCCGTCTGGCAGCACTGGAGGGGAACAGCAGAGAGAGTTAGCGGGAGACAGGAGATGCTGGAATGAGCGGCTAAATACAGCCTCCTGCTAGGAAGCAAGAGCCAGGCGTGGAGCAGCACCCACATGTGTGGGAGAGGGACGTGGGGGCGGGTGTCACGGTTCCTGGCCCTGCCCGGACAGCGCCACCCTCCCACCGCATCACCACTGCCGGTACACTGTTCTGTCACACCAGCACTCGAGGGCAGGGCTTGGGGACACAGGGTGACAAACACTCAGGCACCCGGCCACTTACAGGTCTCTGAGTTGACTTCTGGACCTCCGTTCATCCTGACGGGAAGGGGAGGCGGAGGGAAAGAAGGTGCGTTAGTTTGAGACGGACGATCGCTTCTCGGCCTTTTGGCTAAGATCAAGCGAGGTTGCTGAGACAGACGAGGCAGATGAGGTGCAAACAGCAGCGTGCGGGTTCGAGGTTTCAGAGAGCAGGTCAGGGGAGCGCTAAGGCTACAAACCCTCCACCCCCCAGACCCACCCTGTGATCAAACAGAGGCTAGAGAATCTTCTTCCACACCCAGCAGTGAAAAAACCTAGACCAAGGAGTGACACACTGCTTCTGCACAGGGCCGGGCAGTCAGGCGTGGTGAGCTATGCCTGCCATCCCAGCACTCTAGGAGGCCGAGGCAGGAGGACTACAAGTATTTACTCAGCCTGGGCAGTTAGCGAGACTGTGGGTCAAATACAGGGCTGGAGGTGTAGCTTAAAGCAAAGACCTTGGGTTCCATCCCCAGGGCCCGTTCATATACAGGGCCACCCAACAAGTGCCAGCAGCTTTGTGTGGCACACGGCCTGCGTCACACTCATCTCTGCCGCTGTATGGCTAAAGCAGCCACAGAAGGAACCTAAATGAAACAAGGCAGTGATTTACTAAGCAAGCTTCACAAAAACAGCCAGGGGCTGGGTCTGGCCAGCAAGCTGGACCCTGCCAGCCGCTGCTCTAGAGAGCTGTACATGCCCTATGGTTAGGGGTGAACGCTTCCTACAGGCAGGCAGTGGGGTATTAAGAAACAAAGGAATCAAGCTTAGTGTGAAAAACTAAGAGGAAGTAGGAAAGTATGTGTGGTGACGCAGGCCTGTAAGCCAGCACTCTGGGAGGCTGAGGCAGGAGGATAGCAAACTTCAAGCCCAGGCTAGACTATTCAGTGAGATCCTGCCTCCAAAATTAAAAAAAAAAAAGGGGAACATCTCTCTCTCTCTCTCACACACACACACACACACACACACACACACACACACACAGTCCTCTCCACCATGACAGTGAACAGAAGGACTCACACTCACACTGTCGGTGTAGACAGTGCAGTGACAACACCAATCTCATCCAAGGCAGGGACAAGCGAGCTGGTCCAGTTCTCCAAACCCGGATGCAGCACTGCAGCTGAGCCCAGGTCTTACCGGCACCATCTTCCCCAGTCAAACGACCCAGAGGTCAAGGCAGCTCAAAGAAAGCGAGGCTCCACCCTTACCCTCTCGCCTCCTTCCCCGTCCACATCCGCATGAGTCCCAGGCCTGGCTTCCCTGTAGGCTTCTTCCTCGGCTCCCCGGGTTGCGGCTCTGCCAGCAAAATACACGTACATCAGCCAGACCAGGCCAGGATGGGCAATATGTGTGGGCAATATGTGTACAATCCCGACCCAGACTCGGAGTGGGCACCCACGGCTCCATCACAGGAGACCCAGGAGGCACTGGTGACTTGTTTGTGATTCACGTGGGTGCCTGAGTGCATGTTGCTGAAGATGAAGCCCGGGGCTTTACGCCCTGCTGGGCAAGCGCTTGCTACACCCAGTCCTATACGTGCATGTGGGTCAGAAGCTGGGTGCAACAGCGCAGGCCTTTGATCCCAGCTACTCAGTAGGCTGAGGCAGGAGGACTGCAAGTTCAAGCCACCCTGGGTAAGTCAGTGAGACTGTGTCTCAAAGAGTAATGAAAGGGCCGGGGATTTAGGTCAGTGGTTCCACCGCCTGCCTCGCAAGCACAAGGGACTGAGTTCAATCCCCGGTACCAAAAAAAAAAAAAAAAA